AGGATCGAGTTTGGGGTTGCCTGGTTTAGGGTATACGTTCTGACTCAGCCCTAGATATGCGGCTGACAAATGCAGCTTTCTTTTTTGCCCGTGTTGAAGGACGGATCCGGTCTTTCATATGTAGCCCTGGGTAACCCGTGATTCATTGAAAGTCCAAGCAAGCCAGCTGCTCCGTGCTCAGAGGAAAAAGGGAAATGCCGCAGAAAGGCAGTGCGTATTGTAAGTGCTGTTTAATATAATACAAGTATGTGAACATTTCCATCTGAAATTAATTAAAATAGTTATTTTAAATGGTTATTGAGTCAGACGTGTGGCAGGTGATGTTTGGTTTATTGAAAGGTTTTATCTGTCCCTGTGCAAAGGGGTTTGGCTGCATTTAAGCACAGATTCCATTACTATGCTGTGCGACGATGGTGCCGCTGCTGAAGCTCCTCAAAAATGTAATTAGCACACAGAACAGTAGTTAGAAATTCGGTATCCATTCTTTGTCTGCTTTATGTGTCAAATGTCATAGTTCCTCGGGGACAGAGGGTACAGGCGGTGAAAGCCGGAGAAGCCTGGACCTGTTTGAATCCATAGCCGAACTCTTCCGGCCTCCTTAAGTTCACTGACCTCAAAGGATCCAGTCCAGGTAGACCGGGTCCTTGAAGGATGCAGCCGCTGAAATAAAACACACCCCATGGGATCTATGCCCAACTCCACTACTTCCTTCTTTGTTTCCTGCTTTTCATTACTGGGTGAACTGCTGAATCCAGGTGTGTCTGGTCATGGTTACTGAGGTCAGGCAACCTGGATTCATCAGTTCATCCAGTAGAAAAAGAAAGGAAACAAAAGAGCCCCCTTAAGTTCAATAAGTAGTGGAGTTGTGCATAGAGCCCATTAGTCCGAAACTTTCTGCTTCTGAATGCAGACAAAACAGAAATGATATTATTTGTACCAGAATCACTGAAAGAGAAGCTGATTAGTTAGTCACTTCATTTGGATGGGATTAACCCTTTAAAGCCCAATCCAAGAATAAAACAAAGCAGAAAATTACTTTTTTTTGGTTTGAAGTCCTTATTTGGCCTTTTAACAAAATATGTAAAAAGAAAAAACAAAAAATACATTTTTGATAATAATAATTTATTATTATGCGATAAGTCCAGATTATTTTTTGTGTAGTCTTCTGCCCTCTGTTATCAGGGATATCTGATTGTGTACAATAGGATTTTAAGCAAAGTTTTTAACAATAAATTATGCAAAAGGTTTCAGACGCAAAACATTTTAGAAACCGTATGTATCAAATATGATACATTTGGCATTACAGGGTTAAATTAATCTCATATAATAAACTAAAAAAATCTAAGGGTTAGGTTTCAGGACCGGTCATTTAAATCCAATATTAAAGAGAGAGTTCTAGAATTGCTTTTATTCATTTCTGGAATATTGCAAAAATTTGAAATATCCTGTCCAGGGGTGATGCTAAGAAACTAGTCCATACATTTGTTACTTCAAGGCCGGACTATTGTAATTCTTTACTGTCAAGAAGTCCACAAACTGTAGTTTAAAGCCTTCATCCGACCTAA